CTGACAACAATGGGATCTGATCCAGTTATCAGAGGGATTCGGTGGTCGCAAGCTCTGGGAGGGGGAAGCCCTTGGGCTCCTTGAGTACTGCAGAGAAGTCCGTAAGGAGCCTTTCCATATCCGTTGCGCGTGAGTCCCCACCTTGGAGTGTATGTAGCTGCGCCCTTGTTCTTATTCTGGTTCCCTGCCATGTGACTGGTTTGCTATCCAAGTTGAAGGTCATGGTCAGGGCGGCGAAGTCCCATAGGATTGGTCCAAGCGTGATCAGCCATTTAACACCTAGGACGATGTCAAATTCGTCCAAGGATAGTACGAATAAATCTGCTTGGAAGGACTCTGTTCCGACCTGAATTCTGGTGTCCTTGCAAATTCCGGGGCAGTGAACTCTTTCCCCGTTTGCCACGGCCACCGGTAATTGTGGTCTTCTTTCCATGGGCAGTTCTAACTTGTGAGTCGCCTGTTCGCTGATGAAATTGTGGGTGCTACCCGAGTCCACCAAAATACGGACTGGCCGCTCTGCTATCAATGCTCTCAGTTGCATGGTTTGGGAAGTCTTGACCCCCGTGATGGCATGGAGGGAGATTTCTAGTTCTGATGTTGCAGGTTCGTCCTCTTCCTCTTCGGGTTCTTCTACTAGGAGACGGAACAACTTCTTACACTTGTAGCCCGCAGAATACAGGTCATCGCAGTTGAAGCACTGCCCCCTTGCGCGCTGTTCTGCCATTTCAGCTCGGGTCAGCCGCCTAATGGGGGGTGCAGACCTACTGCTTCCTATGCTTGATGCTAATCTGGAGGGGTTGCCCACAGGCAGCCTTGGTTCTCTACTGGTGATCGAAGAGGAAGTCACTCCTGCTGTCTTCAAAGGCGTCCAAGTTGATGTCGGTCGTCCTATACTGAAGCCCCCGTGGGAGATCTGCATCTTCCTTTCGAAGGCATGTGCGAGGTTCACAACTGTGACTAGATTAGGGGGGTGCTGCATCTCGACATCCACTCTTAGGGGTTCCACTCGCCCTGCTGTCAACATGTTGTCTTGCTGGTCTGGGCATACCGAGGCTACTCTGGTGAGAAGGGTTTGGAACTGGCGCTAATAATCCGCCACAGTCCCGGTTTGCTTGAGGTTGATTAGTTCGCCCAGCGGGTTACTTGTCAGCGGGGGTCAAAACCGGAGGAGGCAATAGGATTTAAATTGTTCCCAACTAAGCCCGGGTTCTTCCTGCTCTAGACGGTAGAACCAGAGCTGTGCCTCTTCGGTCAGGTGGAACGCGGCCAGGCTGACCTTGTCCTTCTCCTCCGTGCGTTGATTACGGAAGAATTGCTCACAGAGGTACAGCCATCCCAATGGGTCACCGCTGCCACTGTATGAGGGAAACTCCAGACGACTGTATTTGGGTATGACCACTGCAGCTGGGGTGGCGTCCTGTCGTTCACCGGAGCCCTCGGCCCGATCTGGGCGGCGGTTGTGGTTGGTGGCCGCCTCTTCAGGACTCCTTTCTCTGGTGGAGAAGTATAACTCCAGTAGGCGCCGAAGCTCCCTGACATCCTCCTTGACTTCTTTTACTTCAGCATGATTTTTCACGAGTCAGTGTTCCAGTTCGTGGACCTTGGATGATAGCTGCTCCATGTCGCCCATGACGTTAGGCTTTGATACCAAAATGTTATGGGCCCGGGCGTAGGATCTCTTCACGGGGCGGTCCACGGGGAAAACTCCTAACCTTCCCTTGCGCTTCCCTTTGCATGCTGACCCTATGGTGGCGAACTAGGGGGTGATTTGTCCAAGAGATCACCCGAACTCTCCTTACACCTTTCTTGGTTGAAAACTGAATGAATTTATTTCCACTCATAGCTCCTTAAATAGGAGATTACAAAGGGAATTCCTTATTGGATTCAGCTAGACTAGGGAATCCTTAACAAATTCAAACTCTTACATCTAAACAGATTGCCTTCCTCTAATGATAACACGACTCCTACTAAGAACAGATAAGATAAGGATAAGGCATGATGGAAAGTGTAGATGGTAGATGGCAAGTCGAGCTGTTGTGGTAGGATAAGGTGGGACCCACCTTGATGAGCTGTCATGTGGGCCCCGCTCTACTGCTGCTGCCGATGGTGCGTGCGCCTCACGGTGCTGCTGCCGTGTGGTGCGTGCTGCTGCCTAGTGCTGCTGTCGTGCGGTGCGTGTTGCTGCCTAGTGCTGCTGCCGTGCGGTGCGTGCTGCTGCCTATGACTGTGCCGCTGCGTGCCGCCGGGCGGTGCATGCTGCTGTGCGCGATATGATGCGTACTGCTGCCTATAACTGCGCCACAGCGCGATGCCGGGTGGTATGTCCATAACAAAAACCAATGGTCATGAATGTCATTAACCATTACAATCTCCTTGTACTATCTTGACGAACACCATTTTCTTCCCCTAAAGGCATCCCACCAAACACCATTTTGATTTGTTCGAATTCAAACATCATCACCACTGTTAGATACTACAACCTCCTTATACTCCTATTCTTCCGTCGTGTCATAGAAGGTCCCACCTTTGATCTCTAGCAAGCAAGCGATGAACAACCAATACCCAATTACCAACCCACCTCTGTTCTCCAGGAAGCATGCCATGAACAACCCACAACACCCAATTACCAAGCCAACTTCCTCCCAGTCGCCACCAACATCAGACTGAACACGCCACCGAACACCAACGCCTAATTCTTGTAGGATGCTGTAGATCTGAACATGTTGCTGAGCACTTGTGTCTGATCCTTGTAGGATGCTGTAGATTTGAACACACGGCCGGACACCCATGCCTGATCCTTGTAGGATGTTGTAGATCTTGGCATGCCGCTAAACACTTGTGCCTGATACTTTTGGTTCCCACCAATTATACACTTGAAAATTAATTTTCTCACATATTTGGTATCAACAACCTAACACTGAATTCAAAGTTAGAAAAATAAATTCTCCTTTCTCATCCCATCTCTTTTCATTTCATCTTTTCTTGTCCTGTTCTTTCTCAGCAATCAAACGGACCATTAATGCCCTTTTGGGAGAGCACATATCATCTGCCAACAAAGCACGTTACAACCCTCTATACCAACATAATCTCACACTGCACATTTCCTACATGGTGGGTCCCAATCTCATAGTGAGATGTCCAATGTTTGATCAAGTTGGTATAAAGTTGGAACATGTTTTGTTGGCAGAAGTTCTCAACATCTTTCGACAGAGTTGAATTAGTCCATATTTTCTCCTCACAGCATGTCCTAGCCACACATCGGGAACATCTCCTGTGCTTGTATTTATTATTCATAGGGAGATGATCCCAATATATGGTGGGATGTGGTGATATCAGAGTGAGGAGCACTCCGTGAGGAGTAGATCCCAATTCGGGCTGAAGTGTAGGAGTCTAGAACTACTCTTCACACGTCACACCAACCTCACATTGTTTCCTAGATGCACATTGGAAACCCCTCTTGTATTTTGTATTATTATTAATGCCTTCATGAAGAGATATTCCCAATGCATGGTGGAATGGCCTCTGAAAGTTTGCACTATATTAAGTGTGCAACCTGTGACGTGACGGTCGGGTCAAATGGGCCAACAATTGAACCATTCAGTTCAAATGGTTTTTGATTGAGAGATGGGTTTCAATAGAATCAAACCTAGAATGAAGGTCAGGTGACAATTCAAACATTGGTATTGTCGATTTGGGTTGGTTTTTGGTTTTGTTAGTCAGTTCAAAAGATTTAAACTTAAAAATTAAATTGAAATTTAAACATTTAAAACGATCAAATATAAAATAAAAAAAATTAAATTCATAATATAAAAATATTTTAGACTAAGAAATATGAAAAATTTACCACTTTTTTGTATTAAAAATTATATTTAAAATTTAAAATATTAATATATATCTATGATCAAGTCGGTTTGATTTTGTTTGGTTTACAAATGACCAAACCAAACTAACTTGACTTGATCAAGTTGGGAAATTGCTAAACCAAAACCAATTGGAAATACTAGACAACTGACCAATTCGGATCGTATTGGGTTGGATTGGTCAATTTCATTAATTTGATGAACAACCCTAATTGAAATTAATTATTATTTTTTTTATTGCAAAAATTCTTAAAAATAATATATAAAATATAAATAATTATTATTTATTTAAAATATTAAAATATAAAATAATTATCTATTCTTATATGCTTCTATTGTTTAATTTTTGTTTAACAAATTAAATTTGAATCCAATTTGATGAGATCCCTAAGCCCCATTGGGTTCAGATTTAATGGAAAGCTATTGATATGTGAAACAAAAATCTATAATTAAAAAATTCTCCAACTTAAACTCTACTCCCCGAATCCTCTTTAAAATCATTCAATTCTTACTTGATTACTCTTAAAAGTAGTGACTTTTTCAAACATCTAGTAGCATTCTATTATTATTAATATGGTATGGGAGAAAAAACTTGTCATTTATAAGTATGGATTTTGGACAACATATAAAATAATTTTTTTTTTATTTTTATTTACCCAACAAAAAATTGAATACAAAAATAGGATTTGTAATAGAGAAGCATTTTTTTTTTCAGAGAAAGAATGGAATTGAAATCTTACATTTTAGTAATTATCCTTACATTTTAAAATTTCGGAGTCGGGTTCAGACATGATTTTATCCGATCCGATTACAGCCCCACACGCAGAACGGCAAAGGGCAAACAAAAGTGAGTCAGTCCTCCCACACGCAGAACGGCAGAAGTGAGTTCCCAAATATCTTAGGAAACAAGAAAACATGCATAATGGAATGTTTTCCCACCGAGATACGAGCGATTTGCTCTCTTTCGGTTTTTTTTTTGGTAACTTCCTTATCCTTCTCCGTGTGGAATTATGAATTAGACTTGTTTTTATCTTTAAATTCCAAAGCCCAGATCGTTCCTGTGAATCAGAAACGCTGGTTTTGGTGACGTTCTCTTCTTCGGTTTACATACAAGAAGTTCAAATTCTTCGGTTTACATACATGGAGAACACTGTCGTTTCAGGCGAGAAAGACACACTGGTCTCGTCGTTCCTGGGAATTGTTGTGGGCCAATCAGCCCAAACAGCCATACAGTTCTTGGAAGCTACGGGTTGGAACCTTGAAGAAGCTATCCGGTTATTCTACGCTGGACTTCAAGATAACGTTCGTCCCCCTCTACCAGTGAAGAGAGAGAAACTGTGCGATGAATCTGATCATCCCATGCCCAGAAACCATTCGAATGTATGGGAATCTGGGAGAAGCCATTCATCTGATCTTGCTTCACTGTATCGTCCTCCTGTTGAGCTGCTGTACCAGGGAACCTTTCACGAAGCAAAAGGTGAAGCCTCTCTTCAGAATAAGTGGCTTCTAGTAAATGTTCAATCCGCTAAGGACTTCAGCTCACATCTGTTGAACCGTGATACCTGGGCAAATGAGTCTGTTGCTCAGATGATTACCATTAGCTTTGTGTTCTTACAGGTTTATGATGATTCGCATGAAGGGCTGAAGATTTGTAACTTTTATGCTTTGGGTTCTGTTCCTGCGGTTCTTGTGATTGACCCTATCACAGGACAGATGATGCGTTCATGGAGTGGAGTGGTTGAAGCAGAGACTTTATTGATGGATCTAGTTCACTTCATGGATTACGGTCCCAATAACTATCCACCTTCTCTTGTTTATAAACGTAAAGCGAGGAGTCATCAATCTCTGGTTTATAGTCAGGAAACCGAAGTTGCAAAACATGAGGAGATGATGTTGGCTTCTACGGAGACTGAAACCTCGTTGATTGAGAAAACTATCTATCCACCACTCCCCGGAGAACCCAAGTGTGAAAAGAGCCTTCTCTGCAGGGTGGCGGTTCGGTTTCCAGATGGACGTCGGGTTCAGCGGAATTTCCTTCGTAAGGATCCCATACAGTTGTTATGGTCATTCTGTTATTCTCAGCTTGAGGAAACAGGGGCAAGACCATTCCGCTTGGTACAAGCAATTCCAGGGGATTCAAAGCAGCTGGATTATGCCACGGAGCTCACGTTCGAGGAGTCAGGGATTAACAACTCAATGATATTAGTTGACTGGATTGAAAATTGAAATAGTTTGTTAGGCAATGGTATTTTAAGTTTCAGCTGTGACAGAAAAATTATTATTTTTGCTATCAGAACAAAATACATGCAATTTTATGTAAGTTTTTATGGATAGTTTGTTTTTTATTTTTACGTAAGAATGAGTCTTTCTCATGAGGCTTGACAGATTCCTCAACCATACATCCTCTGTGCTCGCAGAAGGGGTTGTTCCCTTAATTAATCAGAGCAGAGGACCCTTGAAAATTTATTCACATTGAAATCGTATTAATTAGTCTTTCTTTTCCATTTTATTGCATCCTCACCGGATTTGGAAAGCCAGTCTATACCAATCTTCTCAGCCATTACTGAACCTTGTTTTAATCCATGTGTTCATAGGTAGTTCTCAGTCATTCAAATAAATAAATAAAGTTAAAAAAAAAAAGAAAAAAGGGTTCTGAAAATTCCATTTGTAAGGGTTGGATTTTCCTGTTACTGGCCAAGGGCCTAACAATAAGATTCTGGAAAGAAAATCATCTATAATGAGTTTGCCTAATCCTAAGAAAATGTTTTGAATGCTGAGTGGTTTTGCAGATTCCACTCCTGGTGTTTTCTAATTGTTTTGACAACAAGGGTTTGTTTTGGGTCTAATCAGGATATTATATCATATGCTATAGGAACCCAATTCTCTTTCAATGTTATTTGAGACGGATGTGCTACTTTATCAAATTGGATATTACTTTTTCTCCAATTTTCATTCTTTGTCTCATATTTATCAGTGGACTAGGCCTATACAACCTACTTCAATGGTACTGCCACATGATAAATGCATTTTCCCCCAGAATTAATATATAGATTAACAATAAACATCAACAGTGAAAGTTGGTGGTCATTGGGTAGCATCCTTCTATGAATAACAGATAAGGTATCATGCATTTGTATCATGTTATGACATAAGAGAATAAGCTGATAGATAATGGTTACCGATGCTCTATTTGCTGCAGGATTGGAGTAAACATTTATGGTTTTAGGTCATTTCTCAAAGAAATGTTGTGACATCTAACAGAAGATTTCAATTGTGATTAGTTCATAGATTTCATCTTGCTCAAGTATGCTTGATGGGCCAAGATGAATTTATATTTAAATACTGATCTTATTCTTGAATGAATTACTTATCTTCATTGATACTTTCCATGTGAGTTGTTTCTTTGCTGTCATTTTCCTTTGAATTTTATGCATTTCTCCATTTTCTTGTAGTTTTAGGTGGTCTTTGATGCTTGTTGCAGGACAATCACAGAATTGTGGTATACCTAAATGTGCAACATATTTTATACTATACATAATTGGTATTTATAGTTCTGCACTTGACTGTGAAGCACTATCTATCATACCTGACCTGAAATCTTCTATTTAAAGCTTCTCTGGCATACTTCAATTCTGTGTTGCAGGACAGAACACAGAATTGTGGCATACCTAAATGTGGAACATATTTTATGCTATACATAGTTGGTATTTATATTGCTGCATTTAACTGTTAAGCACTGGCATGCCTAACCTGAAATTCTCTATTTGAAACTTCTTTGGCCCCTGTTTTCTCCTATTTTTTGTTTAATCCATTGCATTTTGTTTAGAGAGTCTGGAAGTTTGTTTTTAAGAAAGAGTGGGGTGCTTCAAATAGAGGATTTGAAACCCTCTATCTTAAGGCCCTGTTTGCTTTTTAGTAAGTTATTTACCTGGGTAAGTTTTTCTTGGGAAACACTTACCCGGGTAGGTGCATTTACCCATGTTCTTTTATTTCCCCGGTAAATAAGGCAATGACCATTTTAGCCATAAAAATCCGTTATTAAAAGGGGAATTTTTGTTCCGTTCAAGTGTTGGCAATTTTCCCCCAGGTGGGAAAGTTATTTACCTACCTAGGAGATGGGTGTCACTTGCCACTTACCCAGAAAAATAAAGTTTCTCTGATCCTCACATAAATATGAAAAAAGAACATGGGATTCTTGGTCAATGGAAACCAAAATCCCATTAACAAACTTCTCCCCCCCCCCCTCAAAATCCAAAAAAAGAATGCCCCCTTAAAATAGAGAGTCGGGTGCTTCCTTCCCCCTTTTTGAAGTTTGAAACTGCAAACTTACCCCTTCTTTGGTAAACCAATTCAATGGAGCTCTAGCTTGTGTGTTCTAGTAATCCAAAACTTACTCATATTTCTATATAAAAAGCTACAACTCCATTTCCCAGTCTAGATTAAATCCAACGATTTGACCTTAGCATATAGCCCTTTACCATATATATCACCTTGGACTCTGTTGTGATTCACAACATGTCAATGCCTGAACTCTTGAACCTTGGACTTATCCCATAGTTTCACTTGTCGGCTAGATCAATTTTCTTTTGACATATGTAGAATGTTAGTGGGTTGGATCTCAGCTCAAGTTTTTCTACATCTTGCATAAGCCGTATCCAGATCCCGGCCTGTTACTAGCTTATGATACAGGTTTTTGGCTGAGGTAAGCCCGACAGAAGTTTCTCATCCTAAGGGCCTTGATGCATGTTACATACTACTGTTTTTAGCAGTGTCCCTCATATGTTTGTTGTACTGAGATGTGTACATGCCTTTGATTATTCTGTCCAGCAATAGCTAGCCAAACCATTGGCCTTGGGTTAGCCCTAAATATTACTATTCAAAATATGGGCTTAGTGCTCATAAAGTCCTAATTTAACAATGGATATCGAGGTCTTTAAAACCAAATTGGGCAACGAATCGGTCAGGAGTTCGGTTTTCATGTTGAACGGTCCGATCATTTGAAACGAACGAATAATCTGTTCTGATAAAAAAATTTAAAAATGGCCAAAACCATTAAACGGTTCGAACGATTAATATGAAACCATGAAACTAAAATTACAAAATCACTCACATGGTTACTATTTAATATTTTTAGAAGGCAACAGTCTAGCTCTTGCATGGTAATTGTAGTACGAATGTTAATATAAAAATGGATAGAGGATAGGGCTGCATCTTATATATTAATAAGTTATATGGTTGCGTACCCTTCACTCGCAGTGCATGTTGAGATTCTTGTGAATGAAAACATACAAGAACAAGACACACTATATCCAGATTAAGCTTGTTGATACGTTTCAAGTGTTTAGGATTGACAGAACCATCAATGGTCAGTCTAATTGTTTTGAGAGTTTGGATCTGCTGGAGAGATCTTGGTCACAATTGACACTATATCCACACATTAATCGGGAATACTTCCCATAATTAAGTTACAACATAAAGTATGGTAAATATTCCCAATCGAGTTGTAGCCTTAGGATCTTGTGACCAGCATATTTTGGTCAGCAGATCTAGGCTCTTGTTTTAGCAAATCAAGATCATTTCAAGCTTCATCTTGATTATATGGGGTTGGGTACATAATCCTGTTTTGCCATGCATTCTGTTTTATTTAATGGGTATCGACTCATCTTCATCTACCCCTTGGCCCACCTCTGCCCCTTTAAAAAGCTTTCAAGGTTCTGTAGGTGCTAGATACATGAATATTGCCCGTGCAAAGTTTCAGAGCTTGAAATGTTCAATATTGTTTTGGATTTTATTCATCATGGTTTAAGTTTAATTTCAAACATTTTTTCCCTTATTCAAATTTTCTTAGCCTTTAGAAATTAAAGAGCAATGTTGTTCTGGGATGTTTGTCCCCTCATGTAGCCCTGCATCTTAGATCGTGTACACCTTAACCTTGTGTTTGGTTTGAAAGAAAAGGTAGACCTTTTGTTTCGAACCAAACAGAAAGCCAGGACTAATAATATAGGATGACACTATAATGTTACTGTTGTATCAGAGGTTTGATTTTCCAATTTCACAATCAGGTATAGACATTTTTACCTATAAAAAAAATGTGTCCAAGTCGAGGCTAGAAATCAATCCGGGCTGGGGCAGAGGTGAATGCCCATCTAATCTGATCAGAATTGGGATTAGTTGAACAGTATGTCTGTACAGCCATATGGCGTTCAGCTGAACTTTGCTACTTTTCCTTTTGAATTTGCTGACTACTTATTGAATTAGGTGGCTACTCCTCCTTCGGGAATCAATATAATAATAAAAGAAAAACTTAATTTGAAATTTTAGTTTAGAGGTGACACACACCGACATGGCAATGGACCATGGGCTCATTGGGCTGGTGGCAGGTCAGGCCGCTGTCTTCCGAATTTGGATCCGATCCCAACACGAACACACCGTTCGATCTTCGAACAGTCGCCCTGGCCGTACTAGACATTACCTTGTCTACCATAATTCGGGCCTAGCGGCAAGCCAGTATCAGGCTGCTCATCATTTCCACTCCTTCCGGGCAAATAAGCAATGGGAGCTGGTGGAGAATTCATCCCTGTAGTAGGATAGCGGCCAGCGTAGGCGAAAGTTGTAGGATGCACACTCCTTATCAAATTTACCCTGCAAGGAAGAAAAGAATTTTATCCTATTTATCATCATTGGTGAAAGAGACATTGGTAGTGTCTCGGCCGGCTGATGACATTTTCCGAAAAATGGTGACACATCTGTGCTATGTCCAGTATTTAATTTGTGGTTTGAAGTCAGGTTCTTTGTTTGGTTGGGTGCTTTTGTGGAAAGCATTGAATTGAAATGGCCACACTTAGGAAGTTGGACAAACATCTCTCATTTTTCATACTGTTGTTAGCAGCGGATACATGATGTGGTAAACCTTGAATTCCACTAATTAGGGCTTTCTGATTTTTCATTGCCAATATTGCTCATCTCCGAGGCCTTACCAACTGACCCAGTTGGCACTTTTAGTAGATTTTTCAATTTTGAGTTGAGTGAGAACTGAGGATGGCCCAAGTTAAAATGGTTGATGGTTGTCCAAAAAACAACCCCATAGAACCATTTACCCCCTCGATCCCTCCATGGTACCAGCCCAACAATACTTGAGGAAAATCAAAGTAGCATCATATATCTAACCATATATATATATATATATATATATATATATTGCCCATGGAAGCCTAGATGCTTTCCCCATAAGGATGGTTCATACTGCTCACCTGAT